CCCCACCCTCTTTTCCTCCTGTTAGGGCATAAAGGGGTTAAATGGATTATAAGGGGGAAGACCAGTGAAAATGTGTGGTTTACGGAGAAAATTTGCTGAGAATGAAGTAAACGAAGATGTAATTTGGCATCAGGAGGCACACATAGTCGCGCAACCGTTTTGGCCGAGGTCCTCGAAGATGTCGACCTTCCTGTAACTGGAACGGCTACAGTCAGTTACAATGGCTGTGGACGCCTGGTGACCAATTAAAAGGATAGTCACAAAGTACGGTTTCTAAATAAACTAATTTGTTTATTTACATCAAATATATTCTCTGTTAACATAATACAGCTGCAAACATCTTTATTATTATTATAGCCGTATTAGGATTAAGGTAATTTAAGATTTTTCCCTTTTCAGCCAATAGCAAATTATGTTTATTTACCATCACCCTAATTAAGCCTCTCAAGTGCTTAACATATAATATGGCCAGCTTAAGAAAAGAAAAGTCAGTTCTTATGTGAACACAATACACAATCATTTCAATGTGCTAAACTCAACTGTCATTCAACTCTAAACTTCAATTATTCACAGACAAAAAGTAGGAATGTAAAAGTTTACACAAGTAATTGAAAAATATTTCACTACAATGTCAAATTTAAAATGGTCCAATAATAACTCGTTGAGTCCCAGGATAGGATTGGGTGGCTTATTATAACCATACATGTGTTCATGTGGGACTCAATGTGATACAATGGATTGAAATGCAGTATTAAAGTAAATCACCTGCTTGTGTGTAAAAAGCACAAATTATGTTAAAAATAACATAAACATAATAAAAATTGACATAATGGAACAGTAGACTATCGATTTTACCCCAGGCAGTGAGATACATTAGATATCACAGCATTTCATCAGTCAGATTTTTAAAGTGACTGATCACTGAGGAATTGCATACAAAATAAAATTGTGACTGGTAAACCAATAATTACAATCAAATAACAATAAAATCAGTGCTTGCTAGTAACTAAAAACTAAGCTTTCTAGCCAGATAACATTATATTGAGATTCCACTGGATCACTATATCCCTACACAGTCTAGAAGCATTTTTGAGAGCACACGTCGTTCAAAACATTTGACAGCTACTTTAAGAAAACAAAACAATGTTCTTCACACTTGGTAACTTTTGTTAAAAAATAAAAAGGTCCCTGGAAAACCAATAATTAAAATCAGGTAGTCTTGTTATAAAATAAAATCAGTGCTTGCTAGTAACAAATGCCTTGCACAACTCACAAGCCGTGAACTTTGAAAAAACCCAAAAAATATAGCATAAGCATTGGATCAAATTTGACATACCGTATGACATCTAGAACAGCAACACACGTATGTGCCATGCTCATAAAGTACATAATTTTGCCAAAAGACATAGAGGCCATAGGTTATTGTAAATGACAAATCTAGAATGAGCAATATGTCAACTACTCAGACCTCATAATCAGCAGTCAGAAATTTACACACATTTAAATCTGCATAGAAATTCCAGCAGATGAAATATTATCACCCCCTCCACATGTTTGTTTGGCATGCGTACAAACAAGTACAGGGGCAACACACAGATTTATAGTAGTGCCATCACACTCCTCATCCCAGCAGGTGATTGGGCTAGTCACATTAAGTGGCATTCTCTTGCTTCCTTCAGCCGTTGAGGTTGAAAAACTTTCATCCATCATGAGAAGAGCCTTTTCAACATCCACCTAAGGAGAACAGATGATGGTATCAAATTTCAGAATGTGGTTGGGTCTTAACAAGTTTACTCTTTGCTTTTAAAAACATCATATTAAAAACAGAACTTACAGATGCAGAACCACAAACATGTCTATGAGCAGTAAGAGAAGCTTTAGCTGCTGCTCCAATTGAATTCTTCCATGGAGATCCATGAACTGTTAATATTGCTTGATAGGCTAAGGTATGCACATGGATACGTGTTAAACTACGACTTCCAGAAATTTGTTTACCCTTGTGACGTAATTGCCTAAAGAGAAACAGCATATTATTTTAATTACAAATCTGATTTTTTTTCACATTAATGGCAGAAAGCTTAGATAACTTACTTGAACACCTCTCTCATGTCGTCAAGAACAGTTGCAACTCTAGGATTAGAATCAGTTACAACACTGACTCTTTGATGTAAAATTATGCTTTTCAAATTTTCTAGCTCCTGCAAATACCACAAGAAGGAATGCTGACTAAACAGAAGGGTTAGAAACACTTCACGCAACAAGGGTTAAATTTATACTTACTTGTTCATTCATACCGAGAGAATCTGCATGAGGTAGAATTCTATCTACTAAATAAATCATTAGCTTTGGTTCAGCAAAAGAAGCTAGTTCAAAATGTACTCTTGTCCTTGTAGATTGCTTTCTCATTTGCTCCTCAACAAGTTTTAGTCTGGCTTCACGTACTCCTGTGCAAACATACAGAAAATTATGTGAAGTGCAGTGCTAGAGATACCTGAAAAATCTCAAATGAAATATTAAAGGAATTACCTTTTTGGAATGGAAAGTTATCCATCATTTGCAGACCACCAACTACAAGCAGATCTGGTTCAAATGCCTCTAGGGCTGCTTGAAAATCTTCTAGGGAGCTCAATGTGGGATTCGTGTCATCATTATGCAAAATAAACCTGAAAGACCCACCAACATACTTGCTTTAATGAATGATTTAAACTAGAAAACCTTTCAATGTCAGGAGCACAATAGGTCTATCACTAGTAAATTTAATATGGTAAAATTTGTACTTGCCTATTAGCTCTTGGGGCTTGGAAAGATCCCCAAGTTTCGCCAGCTTTGTATTCAAGTATGAGATGCACATCATCCTTACTTACATCACCACCAACAACTATGCACACAACACAAGGCAAACACATGCAATGTTAATTAGATGATTAAATTGATAAAAACAGAAACGATTTTACTATCATACTATCAGCTATGTATGATGATTTCAAAAGTGTTATGAGAACAAATATATTGTTAGTATGAATTAAGATTTAATTTTCTAAACTGTTTCAAGTTGAAAAAGTGATGAGCCAAAAAGTACATAGCAGCAAAAGTTACCACGGAACACATCTTTGGTAAATCAAAACAGAAAACAAATTGGAAAACATAATTAAGCAATACTACGATACCTTTAACATTGGGTGAAAATGCTTTTAGCAATCTGGGAGTCATCTTGGCCCCAAGTAATACATCACATCCTTCAAGAGAGAAGCGGTTAGCCATTACAGCTGCAGTACCTCCCATTTCCCATCTTGCACCGGGAACCTGTTCAGCTTGCTCGACAAGCATGTCGAATAGAGAACTGTTGTGTACAAATCGTCTGGAAGTAGAATTTCAGGGTACAGCCGATTCAATGTAAAACCACAACATAAATTAATAATGTAAATCAGTGTTTGGATCAGAACACATTATTCTGAAATATAGCAAACTCACTCTGCAGCTGCTCCATGACGGAAGAAGTATGTATATGCCTGCATCAGCTCGACATCGTTAGTAATTACGCCAGGATCAAGATCGGACTCTTTAAATTGCAGAACATCCTTTGCGTTAGTAAATACATCCATACAGGCACCATAACCCACCGCTACTTTAGGTTTTCGAACTCTGTCAGGAGTCTCCACGTCTATCAGCCCTCTGAGGATAGCTCGAACTTCTGCATCTATTTCGCGCTCTGTGCCGGGACGTAGCCAAATGGCAACAAGAACAACGAGAAGAGATAATAGGCACCCAATCCGAAATACTTTCCACCCCATCTTTTGAGGATATTTGCAATTTCTTTCGCTCGGTTGCGGTTTACAGTCAGTCACCGTCAGGAATATGCCGAAACTATGCAGCAGAAGGTTTTTCTGTCCCTTCAGCATATGAAAAATTTCTCCGAAGACTAGAGGGGTATGATAAATATACGACTGGACAACACAATAGTGGCGCGTGATTCAAATTGGATCGGATGAAGGAGATGGGGTTTGGTGGTGGCAAGATTAGGAGAAAGGAAGAAAATGCAAACAAATTCGGCGAAGATAAACTGATGCTTGAGGTCAAGTTCCCCCTTCCACCCTCATGATGGACTACAGAAGGAGAAGGGTGTCCCCACAATGTCTTTACGGAGGCAACGCGTCTGGCGCCTCCCACGCGCTGGGTAGGCCAACCCGCCAAGCAGCTGTGTGAAGACGGCGGCCCGCCCAGTGCGCCCAATTGCGGGACGGGAGGTAGGCAGGGCAGGAGCGTCAGTCAAGAAAACATTTGTCGCTCAACTTTTCCTCACGTCACCTCGGGGACTTTTCCGGATCGTATGGACCAATCGGGGTTCAGGTGAATACAAGACGGGGCTGTTGTGCTTTTCCGTCTCAAGGGTCCGGTTTCGTCTCAAAGGAATACCTTGTCTTAAACACTGTAATTCTCAATGCAATGATGACAACAAATTTAGTGCAATAACTTGTTATTGCATAAAATGCGATAATTTTACCCCATTTTGCTGCGATAGTAAATTATCGCAGTAAAATGTGTAAAAATTATCGCACATCAGGCAATGACAAATGTCAATTTAGTGCGATAATTTTTCTAAGCCTGCCCCCCCCAGGTGCAATATTATGTGGGAATCGCTTTTGGGCTATTATCGCATTAGTTTGTATGAAACCGAGCACCAGAGATAACAGTGAAGGAATACCTTATTGTTTTCTCCGAGAAAACAACGCTACATTTTCGTACAAAACCCTCATTTATTTTTATACATTACGTTCCATTGTAGGCGGAAACCGCGCACATATAAATGCATGTACACTTTTTATTACAACTTTGACACTTGACTTTCCACTGCTGAAGCGTCTAAGGTAGAGATGGAAATCGGCTGATCCGGGCTCTCCCCGACTGCACTTTGCTTCTCCACATTCTTTTTCGAAACTGTAAATAAACAGGTGGAACGTCAAATAAAGCAACCACTGCATGGGTAAAACAAAGTGTTCAATTTTGCACGTCAATTGATATAAAAGTCAAAGTTTGCAAATTTTGGTCACAGTGTTGTCTACTAGATTATACGTCAATTAGTGTACAAAATGTCCACATTTTTTCCTGAACGTATAGACGTATAGCAGAGCAGCTGAACACCGTCCGGTTCCGATCTGGTTCCCACTGATAGCATAGAACTGTGTGTGCAAGATTGAGACATTAACAAAATGTCTAAAATTTGCACATCAAGCAAGTATTTAACGTCAGTTATACTCCATGTAATGTGCTCAAAATAATGAACTGAACACGTTAGTGTGGAAATTTTGCTCACAACTTGTTTGCTCGCTCCGGACGCACCCCCACCACAACACTCTCCTCACAACCCCTCTCACCCACTCTCTCCCTAGGTAGCAAATTGGAGCAAACTGCATTCAAACTGCACTATAAGTCCCATCTGAAAATGGCTCATGTACGCGCATATTAGGAGCCTACACGCGTTTTAGGCGCTTTTTAGATTGGACACAAAATGCACATTTTATGCAGCTCGGTGCACACCCAAAAAAGTGGATACTTGATTTGAGTACGGTACTTGACAAGTTGAGGCCCAGGACTTGGTTTAAGAATTTCTTTAGATCAAATTGAGTAAAATATTCTCAAAACAAGTACCTGTCCTCAACTTGTCAAGCACCGGAACTCAAATGAAGAATCCACTTTTCTGGGTGCAGAACGGTTCCTGGTACTAAATTGCAAGAAATTTCGTATTGTTCATGATCGATGTCGATTCGACGTCGATTTGAGACAGGGCCTTTCCCTGACCGTACAGTCCTTTAGTCCCTTTTTGATAAAGTATCGACATAGTCGATGTCGAAAAAGCGTTGATTTGCCGGGCAAAATCCCGTCGATTCGACATTTGGAATTGACAATTTTTCGACCGGCCTAATCGACGTTGATTCGAGGTCTATTCGATCACTGTTCTCACTGGGTCCGGCTTCGGCGACCGGCGGATGGATCAGCGTGGACAAGATGTGGGCTATACCAGAGATAACTATCTATATCTAGGTGAACGAAAAATGATCCAAAGCGGGGACAGGTCGAGGGGACTGTCTGTTTAACGGCTGTGGCCAACGTTTATTACCCACCTCTGGCCTAAGTCTGGTATGTACCAAGAACAGTTGAACAAACTTACCGCCAGAATACAACATCATAAGAACATTGGACATGGGTGCCTCGACGGTTATGTGAAGAAGGAACCCGAAGAGGAATGACTGGAAGATGTCTCCCGCACATGCATGAAACTGCAATCAAGAATAGTCATTTAGAATTTTGATGAACCTTTCACTGTGAATATAACACACATCTCGCAGATTCGCTGTGCTTACGAAGGTGTATCTGCCGACGAAGAGAGGCTGTCGAGCGTACGCGTAAGTGGCGATGACCAAGGTGACGTGGCAGAGGTAGACGCAGTAGGCAAGGCGCCCCAGGACGAGCATTGGCGTTCTGCTGAGAAACCACTCGAGCAGACCTACGATGCAAAGCAGGTTTATGCAGCGAATCTGTATGATGTTTCAACTTGCAGCAGTCCTTTTGGGCAGGGAGCTCACGGCACACCCACCTCCGCAGCCCAGGCTGCAGGTGACGATGACCCAGGCGACGGGAACGGAGAACGCCAGCGTCCTGGCGGGCGCCCACAGGGCCTCCAGCCAAGGCCGCTCCGACTCGTACATGAGGTACACGACGCCCAGCATGATGGACACGTTCATGAGGACGTACCCCAATGGGATGCCGAGGGACAGCACTCGGCGCGCGGACTGGAGGCAGAACAAGAGGACCGGAGTGGACGCTTTTGGAGTGACCTGTAATGACCGAATAAAAGTAAAACGCTCACCTGCGATGGGGACCACCCTCTTGCACGAGCGAAGTAGGCCACGGCTCCAGCGAGCAGGCCTACGATGTAGGAGATAGCGTTGGTGTGCGTGGGCAGGTACTGCTTCAGGAAGTTGTCGTTGTGCAGCAGGTTGCCCCGCTGCAGGATCCTACGGGTGGGGAGCAGAGAGGAAGGCAATCAGGCTTCCACCGACGCTGAAGACCCTTAACCAAGGGCTTTGGCATCCAGAAAGTACGTCCGCTTTTTTTCAGATTATTCGGCAAATTGCGGGGGATCGGAGCGCCTGCGAGCCTCAGGGTCGGCCACCCCGCACTACACGCACGCATTGCAGGCAAAATGTTGCCTACCCACCAGGCGCCAGGAGAGCTCGCACCGGCTGAACTGGACAGGTTAGTCACGGCGAATGACGGCCGTACGTTCTGGATGACCCTTTACACGTGGCTTACATGGGGAAGACGGGCGTGGCGGGCAGCAGCGCATAGGCCGCGGTGCAGGCGTACAGCACGGCGCAGGCCGCGGCGAGCAGCAGGAGCAGCGGCGCGCAGCCGCGCCAGGGCGAGCGCCCCGAGCTGCTGCGGCTGTGCACGGCCCACATGACGAACGGCGTGACGAGGGACATCTGCTGGGCGGCGGCCAGGAACCACGTCTGCATCATGCACTGTGGGCAGCGGCGGCGTCAGCTTGAGCGTCACGTCAGCGCGAGTGGCAGCGCCCCCGTTACCCTGGCAGCTCGTGAGGCGCTGCCGCCCAAGTGTTTGCCTGCC